GCCCCCATTCGGACCCTGAGGCCTGTTGGTGATGGGAAAACCTCTCCGACCTTAAGCTTTCTCATTCCATATAGAGATCCCATCTCAGGGCCCAGGGGGCTGCTCCGTTGTGTGACAGTTGCGGAACCCGCCATCGTATGGAAATATCAGAATTTACCTTACAGTCTTTATGGATGGATGCTTAAGTTGCTCCCGTCCTTGGGCTGCGGTGGATGGCCCTGTGCACCTGTTGTCCTGCTCAGGTGCATGATGCCCACCGGAAGGGGCATTGCTAGGTCAGAGGGCGTGTGTGTTTTCACTTATGTGGCTATTACAATATTTCCTCCTAGATGACATAGCATTCAAGTTTCCCCACAACCCCTGGACGTAGGCAGGGAAGGTGGCTCTATCCTGAGTTTACAGATATTACAAACAGAGATGCTAAAGTTCCCAGATGGCGTGTCCGTGCCCAGGCCATCCCAGCCAGGAGGTGGCTCAGGCGTGACTCAGAGCTGCTGGCTCCTGGTAGGGGCTCGGCGCCTTGGCCATGCCGTCGGCCTAACTGATGCCCTGGGTGAGAAAGGGGGGAGGCGGGCAGGGGCCAGGGAGCGGCAGCTGTGCCAGGTGCTGTCTCCTCACCCTGCCATTTTCTCCTGTACCCAGTGCTGTGGGGGAGGGGTCATCGCTGCCCTTTTTACAGATGGGGACACTGAGGCTCAGAGAGGGGACCTGACCTGAGGGCAGAGGCAGAGCCAAGGTTTCAACTCCACCAGCCTGACCCACAGCCCCTGTTTCTGCAACACCCGGCCGAGCTGGTCAGGGTGTGGGCAGATGCTCCAGCCTTCTCCTTCTATAAATTCCTGCATCGTTCAGTTCCACAGCAATAAGCATGAAAAACAAAGCAAGTCCTGTGAAGGCGGGAGGGGGCTTTACAAGCCCGATCAGAAAGGTCCTGCAGACGCCGCGTGATACGCGGAAGTTGTCCCTGCAGGACCCGGCTCAGCGCAGGTGGAGCCCTCGGGGCTCCTTCCCTGAGCAGCACAGAGGAGTGAGGTCAGCTCTGCAGCCTCCAGCCCCCGGCTCTTGGCGCTGAACACTAAGGACGAGGAGATGAGGCATTTCCTAGAGGGGCCCGTGTGAGCGAGAGTTTACATTCCCCCCTCGGCTGTCAGTAGCCTCTGTCCTCCATTTCTGGCCACAGGGTACCCAGGCCTGGCACCCGGGCAGGGGCTTCTCCCTAGAGGTGCTGTAAGTCTGGGATCTCAGAGGGAGAAAGGAGGGGTGTCGTGTCGGCCACTTGCTCTGCTGACAGATGTGAAGGCTTGGGAGGCACCGGAAATGCCCACTGGGACACATGGGGACGAGGAGACAGTGCCATCATTTCTCTCAGCCTGTTTTCTCATCTGTAAAATGGTATCGTGGACTCCTTTAGGAGAGTGGAAAGGGTTTGAGATCCTCTGTAAATCACCTGGCACATTGTAGGCACCCCCAA